ACTGCTCTTTGCAGAAGCGTGTGCTAGGGTGTGCTTGATTTCTGGAGTTATGTCTAATCAACTTATGTGACTTTAACAGGCATTTGCAAGCTGGCAGTGAGACGGATGTTGGATTTGGGGTTCAATTGTTGGGGAGTTCACCGCGAATGTCTGAAAACTTGGGTTCATCCTCCAGCCCCCCCAAAAGAAACTTTAAATTTCGAGGAACCCCCAAAAATCCAAACCTGGAAGCCGTCAACCCCTCATCTTGGTCCAAACAGAGCACTGTGTGTACACCTTGCAGTAATCCTATAAGGAAGGGCCAAAAAAGGCTTGCGCATGCTAATGGCATCTCCTTTTGGATCTTCAGGATTTTGAGTAAAGGGTTACAATCCTAAGTCATCATTCCCAAATAGTTGTATGATGTTGTATGTTCCAATCCAAAATCATCATTCCCAAGCAGATGTATGATGTCGTGTGTGTGGACCCTGTGGGTAAGGTTTCTTTCCAAATGCTGAACCGTGGTTTCCATTTGCTTTTCCAGTATCCCTATATAACCCCAATATTATCCCAAGCCCTAAACCCTTAACCCTAGACCCTAAACCTTATCCCAATGGGTTCCTTAAACCCTAGGGGACATCAGACTGTTCTAGGCTCCGCGTTTGCAGGCGCGAAAGGCGAAGGGTGTCCAGAGACGAGCTTCCAGGTAGCCTCGCAGGTTGAGAGTTTAGGGTTTTAGTTTTTTTGTTTTTTTGCAGCCCCTAGGGTTTAGGGTTTAGGGTTTGGGGTTTAGGGGTTGGTTTAGGGGCTGGGGTTTGGGTGTAGGATTTCGGGTTTAGGGTTTGTGGCTTTTTAGGGTTAGGGTTTGAGGCTTTAGGGTTTTGGGGTTTAGGGCTGAAGGGCTTAGGAGTTTGCTGTTTCCATGACTAGGGGACCCTAATATGGACTCCAAAATACTAACTGTAATCCTTATAGATGGACTCCCAACACGGGTACATGGTTTTGGAATCCCATTTGAGCATCTTGGGCTTATAGGGTATAAGAGTTTAGGGTTGGGAGCCAATGGTATTCTAGAGTTTAGGGGTTGAAGCTTGAGGGGCGGACTGTCCATGCCCTAAACCGTAAATCCCAGTGTGCAAGACGGAATGGAGGAATTTGCAGGATTTGTTCCCTAAACCCTAAATAATAGCTTCCATTTTATTTTCCATCATCCCAATATAATCCTATTTTATCCTATATGACCCCTACATCCCTCAATTTACTGCTTCTTTTGGGGATTCCGGGACTCAGTGTAGGACCCACACACTGCAGTACCCATCCAGACAGGTAGCACCTTCCTGGAAGGCTGGATGGTTAAAAGGGTTTAGGGCTTAGGGTGGGGTTCTTGCTGGCTAACCCTTGGGCTCCCAGTTACCTAAGTAATGGGAACTGGGTTCTATCTACGCTATAGTTACATAGCCCAGCAACCTACTATTTAGGTAACTGGGAGCCCTAGGGTAACTTAACTGTACTTTTGCTAGAAATCTGGAGGAATCCTACACGCCTAGCTGCAATCGAGAGTTCGACAACAGTTTTCAGGAAAATTGTCTCTTGAAGGCCAAACTGCCAAAGCGGTCAGAAAGCTCCCCTTATGCCCATGTGTTTGATTGGACAACGTCCTTTATGGATCGTTGGGGGTTCTATCTTGGTCGGAGGGAGGGTAGAACTTCTACCATCCCTGTGGAAAACTGCTGTGAATCTGCTGGAGACAGGACACCTTTCAGTGTAGCCCCTTGTTGCATGTACGTGTGGATCTTATGGCAGGCCTTTGCAGCATCACATTCTGGACATTGTTGACAACAACATGACCCCGATCTACTTCTGCAGTTCCCCTGCTACCCTAGATGTTCTCGAATAAGAAAAAACCCTTTTACCCTAAACCCTAAACCCCTAACCCCTAAAACCCTAAACCCTAAACCCCAAACCCCTAAACCCTAAACCCCCAAACCCCTAAACCCTAAACCCTAAGTCCGGCCGGCACGTCTGAAGTGCCAGCTCATGCGAAGCCTAGGACGCCTGAGAGCCGAGGAGCGAAATCGTCGAAGAAGTGCCGCTGGATGGCTAACCTTGACATAGAACCCAGAGGGTCCAAGTACCCAATAATTTGGTCCCTTTAAAGGGGATATATAGGGGTTATGTAGGGACATTTAGGGTTTAGGGTTTAAGTACCCAATAATTTGGTACTTGGGTTTTGGGTAATAGTAATGATAGTATAGGTTTTGGGTGAGTATA